GTTGAAATTTTGTAGAATTATGAATTACTTATTCTATGAAAAAACACTGGCAGGTAAACATAACTGCGAAATTCTCGAAGCCGCTCGACGTGGCCTTTCCAACTTCTGCCCTTGCTATACACCATTTTTTTGTCGAAAATTGATGTTGTGAAAGTAAAAAAAAATACCTAACTATACAGCTATTAAAAACTCAAACCTGTTACTATCATTAGGAAATAATATTTCTTGCTTACTGTTGATAATTATATTATGAGCGACGTGACGCGTGACGGTCCGAACTGAGATTGAAACAGGTAAACATTTTTTACGGTACAAAGGAAGGCTACCCCATAAACTTTAGGATCGCGAAATAAAAGGATAATCGGTATAATAAACTTACTTGTAAAACTCATTATGCGTCTTTTCAGTATGTCCCATGAAATGTGCAAACTGTTCCGTTTCTTCCTGATTAAGATTTAAAATTTGCATGACGGTTGCTATCTGTTTTCTTAGTTTGTTACTTGTAATCTCTTTAGGATGTTCCAAATCAGCTTTCTGAGCAAATTTACGAATAGCTACATCACCCCGTACCCATCGATCACTTTTAGGATGTGCAAATAGGTATGGATTTTTCTCAGTAACCAAATCAGTTGTTTGGCGTAGGTTAATAATCATAAGTACTTATTCTTGAATGTTGGGGGGGAACAAAATAACAATGGGTTTGCTACCTTTTCCCCCCGTAACTACTCTTTTGTAATGTCTTGTCAAAAGTATCTCTGAAGGCGATAGGGAATTTAAACATTCATCTTGATTTATCGTAGAAAAATTGGAGAGGTAAGTTTTTAACAAAGTATAATGTACGTCACCAATGCGTTTTCTGTTGTATAATATAGTTAAAACAAGAGTCGCATCAACTAAATTTTTAAACTGTTTTATATTATTGGGATTATCTTTAAGAGTTGTCAAAGCTATATTTGCAATTTCGGTGACGTATGTTTTAAATTTTATTATGTCTTTTGTTAAGGGTAAGACTGTTGGTTTATCCCAATTTCTTTCATTAAGGCCTTTAAAAGCTAAGCTGCTTATTTCGGTCGTCCACTGAGAAACAATTAACTCATTAAATCGTTTTATCTCCTGTATTTTAATTTCTATATCTTCAACAAATTTAAAAATTGGGTCTTTTTTAATTAATAAGAGCATAAGTAAATTACTAACTTGTTTCAAAGACGTTCCAATGTGTGCCGATAAACTTGGAGCTCTGTAAGATTTTGTATTTGGGTCATATCCGCCGATATTTTTAACACATTCTATAACTGTGTCAAACATTACTGCATTAATTGCATCACACAATGTATATTTGTCATCGTTTTTAATGCGCCGTAACTCAATTAAGAGTCTTGCTAGTTGTCTCATTTTATTTGAACACACAACCGCCATCTGTTTTCTTCTGTGTTTTTTTAAGTATTGCTCCCCAAACTGGCATATCAGTGGATCTGTTTTTGCCACCAAAGAAATATCATCTGCTTTCATAATATCAAACACTTCTTTTCTGACACGCAATTTATGTAAAGTATTATTTCCCTCAATTGCACATGCAATTAAAGTTTGTGATGCTGATTGGTGTCTATTCTTATCTAAGTTTTCATTAACATTAACAGCCATGCATTTTTTGCGATGGCGAGAAAGGAATTTTTTTGAGTATAATCCTTTACAATTTGCGCAAGGATAGTACGACGTAGATGATTTATCTTTTGTTGTATAAATAGGCCTTAAAGTACCCCTTAAAAATTCGTCAAAATTCCCAGAATTTCTTATTAAAGTTATTATTTGCTTTCTTTCTTTACTCTTTTTGGGATATGTTAATAATTCTATTACTTCCTTTACATCTGTGTGATTTCTTTCTAAATGGCGCTTAAAATTTGTAACTTCTAAAGAGCAAAATTTGCATTTTGTTCTTTTTTTTTTCCATTTGTTATTACATTTTTGTGCGACCTTAAATTAACAAATACAATTTAGAAAACTGGACTATCACGGTTTCAGGAAAAGTTTTTCAGGTAAAATATATAGTCACATTTTTATAGAGCTTTGGACAAAGTTTTGAATTTTCGTTTTATGTAGACTGGTCAAATAAATTAATTTTCCAAAAACAGTTCAATGCAGTTTTCTTGGTTTTTTAAAGTGGAACTTTTGGTCAGTGGTTTTAAAATTTTAATTTATTTAATATACTAACTTACATGTTTAAAAAATACAAGAGAAATGCAATAATTTTCTTTTAAAATTTTATTGTATACAAAATCATTTTTCATATTCAAAATTTTATTAATCAATATAAGTATTGTATCATTTAAAACTGATCAAATAAAATCATTCCTTTAAAAAAAATTATAATAATTTTTTTTAATTTTCTCAAATACGGCAAATATAGAATAATAAAAAGTTAGATTAAAGAGAATAAAAATTTGATTATTATCAAAAAATTATGCTGTTACTTTAAATATTTTTTAGAGAACTGCTTTGAAGCTTTTTCGAAACTTTAATTTAATTTTTGACTTTTGTATGTAAATTGAAACTTTAAATTTACACAAAAAAATTATATGGTTCTTTGGCCTAAATTTTTGTTAAAAACAAACCCAAAAGTGTTGTTAGTTTTCTAGAAAGGGTATGGAAATTCAAAATATTCGAAAAAATATTTTTTTGCTATGTTATCTTGATAGCATCCTCTATAATACAAATAATAATAAACAAAAAATGATCTTTCTTATATGCTTTGTAAACAATTATCTTTTATTCAAGTAACTTTAGAAAAATAAAAAAAAATCTGCATAATGAAAGAGTGTGTAGATAAAAATTATAGACAAAAGTTGTCAAGAATTGCTTAACATTTTATAAAATTTCAAAATATACAGGATATGTGGGGTGGGTTACCCCCCCCCCCCCCCGGCACTTATTAGGCCTCATTAAGCCCATTGTAGATTTAATGTAGTTTTTTCACCCGAAGTATCAATGTAAATTGGAAAAAAATAAACTTATTGTAGTATATAATTAACTTACTAGTTGGGTTGTTACTTGTTTTATTAAAGGATTATTTAGATTTTTGATTTGCAGTAAAGTTAGACGAGACAACCCAATGTAAAAATGTTTTGTAACTTTAAAGATAGTAAAAGAATCAATAATACAATTCATAAACATATTAGATTACGAAATTAAAATATTTTTATTTTTCTGATATTCTAATAATATGTTTATTTCGAAAAAGCGAAAATCCAAAAATAAGCTCAAACTCTCATTTTATAATAAATATAAAGTAAAATACTATTGTGCCTTGTTAGTGAAAAGATGGGATTCAATAAACATATTAGGTAATTAACTTACATTTTGAGTCTGTATTTCATGAACTTTAGATTTTCTAGGAATAATGTTATTATTTGGTTTTAACCCTACAATTTCAGGACTCTCCGATGAATCAAAATCAAAGACAGAATCATTTTGGTCATATGTTAAACAGTTTTGTAAAGGTATAATAACGGTGGCATTGGAATTTGTAGAACATTTTGTATCTGATATCTAAAATAAAATTTATTTTGTTGTTGTGCATCTTAAAAAACAAATATTTTATACTACCAGATCTAAATCCGAAGTAGGATCATAGGTGGTATCATCATTAAAATCTTCAAAAGGAGATTCATTTATTGATGATTGATCAGACTCTAAAAAATACCAATTAAATAAAATATAAATACCGAAAATTTGTTTTTTATGCATTCAAAACATACATACCGTCATTCCGAAAAGACGATGTAACTAAGTCCATAATCTTTTTTGCTCTTGTTTTATATGAATACCTACGAATAATAAGTACACTTATTAAAGCATAAAAAAGTGTTGATGTTATTTAAAAGTTATTTAATAAAAAATCATAGTCCATTTTAAAAGAAACTTTTGTATTATTATTAAACTAGTTCACACCTTAAAAACCCGAAATAGTGCAAATTAAAATATAGTTTTTTTAAAGACGTTTTGAAAAATTTATAAATGCTTTAATAACAAAAAAATATTTCCAGATCCGTACCTGTAGAGGTTAGCGGTGTTACACTGTCGCCACACTGACACATACATCCATACATTTTTTTATAATCTATATATGTACATAAAATTGTTTGTCCTGACTGACTGACTGACCTATCAACGTACAGCCAAAACTACTGGGCCTAGAAAGTTGAAGATTGAAACATAGGTTTATTTTATAACGTAAGCATCCGCTGAGAAAGGATTTTTGTAAATTTTAACTTTAAAGGGGGAATATGGGAGGAAGGAGCTTTTAATGAAACTCTTTGTTCTTTGAAGTTAGGAACATGAAAATTTGAATTACAGCTACTGAGCATTAATAAATAATGACGTGTTTCAGGGTTTTTGAATTTTCACATTTTAAGGGTGGCAAACGGGGGGTGAAAGTTTATATGAGAGTATCGATTTTTTGTTCTCTTTGAAGTTAGAAACAAAAAATTGGAATTGCAGCTAATGAGTACAACTTAATAATGACGTGTTTTTGGGTATTTTGAATTTAACATTTGTAGGGTGGGAAACGGGGGGTGAAAGTTTATTTGAACATATCGATTTTTTTAAAGGTGGGGACTTAAAAATTGGAATTGGAAATGCGGGGGGTGAAATTTTTTTTTTAATTGTAGGTATGTATATATTTTTTGTTATTTATAGTTGGAAACAGAAAAATTTGAATTACAGCTATTGATTAAAAATCAAAAATGATGTGTTTCATGGTTTTTGGATTTTCACATTTTAAAGGGGGAAAACGGCTGTGAAAATTTGTAAAGAAGTATACATTTTTTGAACAACTTAAAATTATAATTGTAGCATAAATAAATAATGACTTGCTCTGTGCTTTTTAGATTTTTGTTTGGTAGTATCTCAAAAATAAACTAAAATTAAAAAAAAAATTATTATTAAAAATTAATAAAAAGTAATAAAAATTAATAAAAGTTAATAACAGTTATTAAAAATTAATAAACATTAATAAAAATTAATAAAAATTAATAAAAATTAATAAAAATTAATAAAAATTAATAAAAATTAATAAAATTTAATAAAAATTATTAAAAATTAATAAAAATTATTAATAAATAATAAAAATTAATAAAATTAATAAAAATTAATAGAAATTAATAAAAATTAATAAAAATAAATAAAAATTAATAAAAATTAATAAAAATTAATAAAATATAATAAAAATTAATAAAAGTTAATAAAAATTAATAAAAATTAATAAAAATTAATAAAAATTAATAAAAATTAATAAAAATTAATAAAAATTAATAGAAATTAATAAAAATTAATAAAAATTAATATAAATTAATAAAAATTAATAAATATTAATAAAAATTAATAAAAATTAATGAAAATTAATAAAAATTAATAAAAATTAATAAAAATTAATAAAAATTAATTAATAAAAATTAATAAAAAATAAAAATTAATAAAAATTAATATAAATTAATAAAAATTAATCAAAATTAATAAAAATTAATAAAAATTATTAAAAATTAATAAAAATTAATAAAAATTAATAAAAATTAATAAAAATTAATAAAAATTAATAAAAATTAATAAAAATTAATAAAAAATCATAAAAATCATAAAAATTAATAAAAATTAATAAAAATTAATAAAAATTAATAAAAATTAATAAAAATTAATAAAAATTAATAAAAATTAATAAAAATTAATAAAAATTAATAAAAATTAATAAAAATTAATAGAAGTTAATAAAAAATATATAAAAAATATATAAAAATGAATAAAAATGAATAAAAATCATTAAAACTAATAAAAATTAATAAAAAAAAGGAAGTTATGTAATTTTTTATATTAATAACACGACTACATGCGAGCAAAGTCGCGAGCAAAGCCGCGGGCAACAGCTAGTATTAAATATAATTATTAATTTTTAAAGAATTATGGTATCATTTGGAATCTAGATACTTGAGAGAATAAATATCAGTATAGAAAAAAAAATCACTGATTTATAAATCACTGATTAATAAAGATATACAGGATGTCCCGAAATTAGACGGTCATATTTTAACAGCGTAATCTACATCCTAAAATAGGAGTTAAAGTTTATGTAAACATAGATCCGAAAACGTTTCTTTTCTTAGATACAGGGTGTTAAAAGTGAAGTCCAAGTGACACACTTTTGTAAATATTTTATAAACGTTTAAAGATGCCTAAGTGAAATTTAGGACAAATGCTTACCTTTTTACGCTCTATTTAACGGACTAAACCCCAGTTTTTGATCATCTTTATAGGTGGGTAAATTAGGGGGGCCCTGTTTTTTTATTGACAGTTTTTAACATTTTTGACTATAAAATTTGGAAAACCAATATTTTCTTTATAATAAAGCTACTTTTGTTGCATCTCGCTAGGACGCACCATTTTCAAGAGAAAAGCATTTGAAAATTTAATGATAAGGTGATGTTATCTTATTCGAAATTGTAAACAATAATTAGTTCGCCTGTAAAATCAGAAATTTTATTTTTTTTAACTTTGGAAAACCGGTGACTAAAGAAATTTTAGAAAATATTTACAAAAACTTGCCATCAGGACTTCACTTGTAACACCCTGTATCTCAAAAACGAAACGTTTTCGGACCTATGTTTATATGAGCGATTACTCCTATTTTAGGATGTAGATTACGCTTTTAAAATATGACTCTAATTTCGGGACACCCCGTATTGAAGAAATACTGTTCCCAAAAATGGTACATGTGTGTTTTGTATCATATTCCTTATCAAAAAAAGTTCACTTAGAATATAAACAATAAAATATAAATTTTTAATATGGTCCTGGTATTTTTGAAACAATTTTTATACGTGCTTAAAGAGATTTTTTTAGCTTAATACCAAATATAGCGATCAAATTAAAATGCTGCGAAAAATATGTGTTCGTTGTTATTCCTCCTAGTGTTTTGATAATTATAATACCATAACTTTTTATTTTTACTGAGGCCCAACTCATGGGGCCTCAGTGTTGCAATGTTCAATCAATTTGTAAACCCTAATCAAAATCAATATGACACGGTTTTTATGTGTAACGGTCGGTCGGTATGGCGACAGCGTAACACCGCACTACACGAATTATTATTTTTTAAATTTTGAATTCTGATTAGTTATATCATAAAATTTAAAATGGTGGATCACCCTGTTTATATATTTTTTTATTATTTTGATTATTACTTTTAATTTTTAAACTTACGTTACACTGCTCTTTTTTTCTTCCATAACTAAATAATGTATTCACTAAATTTCACTTTACTCTGCCTCCGTATCCGTATTTCTTAATCACTGACTGGACTCCTTCTACATCATTGATTGGAATTGCGAATATTTCTTATCATAATAAAAAAATAAACTCAATGCTGAAATCGCATTTAGCTAGACGGACTTTTAAGAAAAGGTTCTATATCACAAATATAGACAAACATAAACGTGTCTTATCGCTATTGGATAC